CTTGTCTATGGCTATCCATTAACAGTAAGGCTCACTCTTTGAAAACTGTACGCTCCGACGCACACTTCGAGAAGTGGTACTTCAGCTATTAGAAATTGCAGTTGTATGAACTTGGCGGCCAACAGGTACCAGGTTAGGTGATATACACCATTTTCACTTTGAATTGACCACTTTTCAAATCAAATTCACCACTTTTCAAACAAATTCACCACTTTTCAAACCAAATTCACTTTTCAAACCAAATTCACCACTTTTCAAACCAAATTCACTTTTCAAACCAAATTCACCACTTTTCAAACCAAATTCACCACTTTTCAAACCAAATTCACCACTTTTCAAAGCAAATTCACCACTTTTCAAACCAAATTCACCACTTTTCAAACAAATTAGCCACTTTTCAAATCCAAATTCACCACACTTCTTAGACTGAGCGATCAGATCACGCTAGAAACCACTGCGAGCCTCGCCCCCTCGGCCACACCTACTTGTCAGCGTGGTTACGAATCTTCGAATTTTATTTTATACCATCTGCTTCTATGATTTTTTTGTCTTTTGCTGTTTCGCACACACACTTTGACTGAAAAGGACTGTACATCGACACATGGACAACCCCGCCCACTATTCGAAGAGTTAATACGAACATTGGATTTTCATAACTCCTTCACCTTTGTTAGTTTCATATCCACTCTTCACAGAACGGAGGTGCTCATAGACGTCACGCACAGACGTATGAAGCTCCGCCCTCTTGAGCACGCCCACTTTTGCATCTTTACGAATTCCCAGTCCTTCTCCGAAATTTTCACGCGGTCCCCATTTCGGAGACATGGTGTACCTTGTCTCGGTAATTTTATATTGCTTGCTCACCCATGAAAAAACAACAGCCGTTTTTATTATTATTTGATTTCTGCGTTTACTGTTGTAGTGTTTCTTGATCTATTCTTTGTTGTTGAATGGCAATAATGGCCTATAATCACGCCAAAACAGTGTTCAGGCTTCGCTGCGTCGCGCGACGACGCGCTATAACGCGCTGCAATCTCGGCAGCGCTCCAGGACTAAAGACGCGGACGCAGCTGCAGATGGAAATCGATTGGCGCTGGCCGTTCGTGCATTGAGAGAGTAAGGGGGAAAAGATGTGTGGGCGTTGCCCTCAGCATGCCAGTCTTGGATCAATCTGGCCGCTTGGAGCATTGGGAGAGTGTGGAAGATTGGAGGTGCCAGACTTGAGTCTGGCCGCAGAGCTCCGCTTCTCACCTTTTTCCTATACTCATCCCAACAACCACAGGCACGCGGTGGCATTTCAGTCTTGCGGCTGCGTTCATGTCCAATAACATTGGAGAGCGTTTTGGCTATTTAAGCGCGTCGAGGCGCATTACACCGCGGTTATGGCGCCGTCACGAAGTCCTGAAGCGCTGGGCACTAATTCGATCGTGTTTCAGAGAAAAACGTCATCTTTATCTGTACCCCATCTGTGGTACCTAATTTCAAACGACAAATACCGGTGCTTAACAAGCGCATGAAGGAACTGGAGCGGTCATTGGACATTGTTCACTTTCTAGGAGAATCTAGAGTTGTTCCGCCTACCTTGAGTTGCTCATTTAGTGATTTTCAATTACATGGAATCAGAGAATAATAAAGTTATACATGAGAAATGATAAAAAGCAAAAACAACCTCAGAAGTCATGAACCCGTTTGGGCGAAACTTCCCGCAACATGCACCAGTGGGGTGTGACTGTAAATAGTAGCCCCTCCCTCTCACCAGTAGTGCGTATCACGCACCAATAGCAATGTAGGCGGTCTCATTGTCAGGGTCCCGCCCAAGCAAAGCGAATAACTGTTTTTAACACAGTGTGCACATTGAATAAAGACTAAAATAAATACATTACTGTAAAAAAATACATTTGAATAAGTTCAAAGTATTTGTAGTGATACCTCGATAGGAATCGTGTCGTACGTGGTTCACTAGTCTTTCAAATCAATCTCGATTACAGTTTACCAATAATATGGCGGGTGGCTGTTGAAGTACACTCTATATCCCGAAAATTGATGGGGCGTGGCTGCGAACTCATCCGAAATGGTGGCGGCTGCCATTCTGGCGGGATATTTTCATAATCATGTCTTTGCCCAGCACAACACACAAAAATAGTCTCAAACAGGGCACATCATTAGTAGGGGATTTTGGTCGAGTCCGTACGACCTCCCTCTAAAATATGACTTGATACGACCCCCTCCCCTCCAACGACGAGCAAATACGCCATTTCCCCCCTCCGCCAGTTCGTGAAGTCCCTGAAACAAGAAAAATCGGCACTGTTTACCCTATATTGCCGCAACCATCCGGAATAGAGTGAGTTTGACAGAATTTTTTCTCCGTGAGCAGATATGTAGCACCTGGGGTAGTTTATATATACGAATACCACATCCGCTTTGCCCGAAACTTCCCGGCGATCGCGCCACAGGCGCCAATGGTTTGAGGTGGCATCAGCGCCTGTGGCGCGGGCGCCAAGAGGTTTCGGGCTGAGCGGATGTGATATTCTGTTATTCAGGGTGTTTTGGCGCCGACGCCTGTGGCGCGGGCGCCAGGAAGGTTTCGTGTCCGAGCAGGATGTGATATTCATGTTCAGGAGGTCAAACTACCCCAGCGAACAAATTTTCAGCTAATTCTGCCCTCGCACAAAAAAAATCGGTCAAAAACTAGTCAGACTTCGTATGATCGGGGCAGTAAAGGGTAAATATTGCCGAAGAATCAACTATCAAAAAATTTTTCACAGCCCAAATACGACTCCCCCCTCTCATCCAATGACCGAATACGACCCCTGTTGAGGAATCCCCAAGTGGTGCTCTGGTCCCAAATGGGGATACTCTAGAAAAAAGGCCCCTACGCAAGGTTCAAATGGAGTACGCAGCCACGCCCTCCCCATCCTTGGCATATGGATTTCCACGTGGACCCCTTCGGCTAGGGGGAGGGAATTTCGCGCTTCCGCTGGTACATGTTAATTAAAAGGTCGCAAAGGTTCAATCGGAGCTTTAAGTTCTTGTGAAGCTGCAAAAAGGTGTGAGCGACCCATTTTGGTCAAAGGAGTTCACAGGTCTTCACAAGGTGGCCTGTAAAAGCTTTGCTAAGTGCCATTTGTCGCCCCACGAGGGTATCGTGCTGCCAATATTTCTTCTAATCATTGTGGACTGTCGGCAGCAATCGCTAGTTTCTTGACTCTATAAATATTTCCCTAGTGAAGGTTGAGAGGTTAATGTTGCGGAGACGCAGCGAATCAAGGTTGCAAGTGGTGCCGCGTGCGCTGCATTCGCACCAGGAGCTGATCGACTCGGGGATTACTGTAGTGCACTCAATATCCCTGTCAACGATAGGGCGTGCGACGCGGTGCATATTGGAGCGCAGACAGGCCACCACTAATATCATCCTGAACTCCTGAGTCAGTAGCAACAGTCGGCAATTAGCTAGGGAATACCAGCTAGCTTGTGAGCATTCCCTCGTTATATAGTCATGATCCCCTCAACCAATGAGAAAGCGTGGAGGAACGTGTTATAGCGCAGCCAGAACCTCCTTTCTCACCAGTTGTGCAGACTGAGGATGGCATCATTGGTGAGAAACGACGTCTTGGCACCGCCCCAAACCACGCCCCCTATCATTGCAGGGACCAGAACTGTAATATATTTCCAACCGACAACGCAAGCTTCCACGAGATAACATACAATTTGGAAGGGAATCTATCTAATTGTGTGTTTCCCAGCTGCATTTGTAATGTGCTGCTTGGTGCTTCTTCATGAAAGACAAGGACATGCCGCATCGCCATGGAGTTAGCTGGCTCATGGCGCTTCATTATCACAACTAGTGCTCCATAGCGCCTTACCATGCGCTCCGTGAAGACGACATTCAAAGCGTATATGAAATCAGGAGGACGCTCCTACGCCCTGCCTTCCTATGGGAGTCTGACAATTAGCTTTCTCCACGCCGTTAGAACTCACCCGAAGATCAACCAGGTTTCTTCCATCGGCTGGCTCCTTACCATTGGCCCGTTGCCTTGCCCAAGCTAACAACGCTACCAACTACCCATGTCTAAAACGTACCTTGTTACCTTATGGACTGCCAGAATTTCGCGCGACGTTCTTTGGGTGTGTTGCGTCAATTATCATTTTCAGGGCACTATTTTGCTATCACTCGGTTACTGTGCTTGAATGGTATCCGCTTATTTCGAAGGCGGCTCGCTGCGGACTGATGACTCGCATCAGCTCTTCTGCGCCCCCCCCCTCGGCCAAGAATAGAAGGTTTTCAGCTGAATATATAACACCGTCCGTAGCCATATTCAAAAGTTAAAACAGTCAACGCTGAAAAATGCGAAGAAGCAGTTGTAGGTTGGAAGATTCTTGCCTAAACTACAAAAGATTGCTGCCTGTTTGTTGTTGACTGGAAAAGTCCAGACATTTGTTTTCCGCTTCTGTGGGATTTCTCAGCAAGTTCCCGGTGAGTCTTGTTTGTTTTATTCGAATTTATCTGCGCTGGATTCCGCGCTGTCAAGTACTGCCGTATAGTGAAGAACGACGGAGTCACCACTCGGCCGCCACCCGGCATTTCCCCTCCCCCCCCCCTCCAAATACGGTTTTATAGCCACCTGGTGCTGCCCATTGAAGTTCATATAGAATCATCGAAAAGGGGCAAATGAGACTCAAAATTATTACTCTCACCGTTAAGCTTGACTTTCAAGGTGTGATCGACTATTTCGTGCTCCAATGCGAAACACGCGCTCCGATGAAAGTAGTCTTGATTTTCAGGGACTACAGTAGCCCTCTCCCGCTCAAAATTTTTTGGCCTAAATATCTTCGTCATGGTGGTCTCAGTCTCATTTTTGTGGTTGCCTTGTACTTTTGTCTTGGTCATCTAGTTGTAGTCCTGTTTCCTCGTTACATTCTGGTACTTTGAGCGCTACTTCCTAACGTAACTCTTCAGTCAATAAATAGAAAATGTTTGCAGTACTGGGTGAGAGATCGTGATGATCTTCGTCAGAACTCTTTCGGGTCAGACATTGGCCTTTGATGTCAACGATGTTCTTAGCATCAAGTCCCTGATCGCTGCACGAGAAGGAATTGCTGTCGAAGACCAGAGGCTTATCTACGCCGGTGAGTTGTCCAAATTTCGTTATCCACAAGCTCTTCCAGTTTTTTTTGTTGTCTGCCTTTTGCTGAATCCCGAGAGGGCCAGAAATGGTTCTTGAGGACGGACCCAGCTCTTAAAAGTGCGTGATCGGCTAATGCTATAGGTCGTCAGCTCACGGATGATGATGAGGTCGAAGCAGACTCGACTCTTCACTTGTCGCTAAGGTGAGCAATCTTTTTTTGTTAGAATCGTTTCTGGCAATGAGGATCCTTTTTTGACATCGGTGTCCAGGCCTCTGAGAGTAACGTGACTGACATCTTGAGTTTCTGAGCCAACTCCGATCCTGTTTTCAACTAATTTTTCTTCATTTACTTCTGTTACGAAAATCCTTTTAGCCTGCTCGGAGGTGCTAAGAAGAGAAAGAAGAAGGTTTACACAACCCCAAAGAAGATCAAGCATAAGAGAAAGAAGGTCAAGCTCGCTGTGTTGAAGTACTATGAGGTAAAGATATGATTGCTAGAAATAGAGATAGCCGGTCCCAAAGAGCCTTGTACTAGCAGTGATGATTATATTATTTTGCCAACGGTGTCCAGGCCTCTGAGAGTATCGTGACTGTTGATTTGAGTTTCTGAGCTAGTTTCTTGGCTCTGATCAATTACTATGGCTACAACTGTACTTTTCAAAATGTAACTAACAAAGTTATTTCAGGTCGATGACAATGGTAAAATCCGCCGTCTTCGCAAGGAGTGCCAATCACCATCGTGCGGTGGAGGAGTATTCATGGCTGCTCATGAGAACAGATACTATTGCGGTCGCTGCCACGATACCCTCGTCGTTGAAGAACCCGTTGCCTCCACGAAAGGAA